ATGGCATGTTAGAGGGTCATAGAGCTCCAGTGGAGCTCTAACATACCATGCTAGAGCTCCCATGGAGATCTAACATGGCATGCTAGAGGATGTTAGAGCTCCCAGGGAGCGTTGCCATGCCATGTTAGCGCTCCCACGCAGCTCGTACTGGCCAAAACTGGAGGAGCTGTAGTACAAGTCGACGTCTAACTTGTACTACAGCTCCTCCAGTTTTGGCTAGTAGGAGCTGCGTGGGAGCTCGAACATGGGATGTTAGTAGAGCTCCCATCTTCAGGTCGGCAGCTGGGAGTACTTGCTCAATCATCGCAAAGGCTTGCGGAGCCAGAGGGAGCGGTACGCTGGCGCGTCAGGAGGGCGAACACGATGAGGTGTTGGATCATGAGCGCCGCCTGCGCTGGGTCCAACATAAGCAGCATCCGTTGGACTATGACGACATGATGCTATTCGACCGTCCAGGAGTCTGTGAGGGCCAGGAGAGACCCTACGGGTGCCTGGACGCGACCGCACATAGGCAGTTGAGCGACGAGGAGATCAGGTGGAACACTCCTATGATCGACTGGGAGCGTCGGAACCCGCCACGGGCGACTGGGATCGAAGACTGTGCACGGTACCACTGGGATCTGCATATTTGGCAGCGGCGCCTGTCAAACGCCCAGAGTCGCCAGAGAGAGGCGTCGCTGCGCCAGCGCCAGTCGGCTGCAACAGCGTCATCAAGCGGGCGGCGGGCCCAGGCCGAGCAGTCGGGTGATCCGCACCACGCGATTGCGATCTCCGACAGCGACTCCCCCCGAGAGGCTGGTGACCGTACCCGCAGAGGCAGAGAGCGCACCCGCAGCACGGCGCGGGATGTTCCTGTCACGGCACGGCGCGGGATGGGTGTTCCTCTCGCATCTCCGCTTCGGCAGGAGGAGGATGATTGGAGACAAAAGACTCCGTGGGCCAAGCGCGCGGCAGCGAAGAGGGTCAGTGACGCGCCCGCGGAGGGCCAGCCTCTTCCGAAACGGATGCCCTCCCGCCCGCCACGGCCAATCGATTTATCGGGCAGGGTCGTGCCGCCGCCGCCGATGACGAGAGAGCAGCTGCGACAAGAGGCGGACCACTACAAGCCCGACCCAGAGGGAGCGCGGCAGGAACGCATGGAGGCTGCTGAGCGGCGCCAGCTCTTATCCCAGGCTCCACGTGGGTCAGCCGCACGGGCGACGACGGTTTCTTCTTCTGCCACCATGATGAAGCACAGCGAGGAGCCTATCGAGCGCGGGAAACTTCTTAAGCGGCAGGCGGAACATACGACGAAGAATGCCCGCATAGCTGCAAGAGCCATGTCAGCCTTCCCACCGCGTGCAAAGGTCGGTCAGACGGCGGAGCAGTCCAAAGGTTACAAGTCCATCGCCAAGTTGCCCCCCCCCCGAGGAGGCCGCAGTCGTCGAGCAGAGCAAGCCGAAGCGCCTTCCACCCTTTGTTGTGTCGTCCCCGCACGAGGCCGTTCCCGTGTTCCACAAGGACTGGACGCTGGTCGAGGACTGGATGCTGGAATTAAAGCTGCGGGCAGAGAGGATCAATATGATACACGAGTACCTGCTAGCCGGCTTCCCCGTGTGGTACCCGAGCTCGGGAAACTCCATGTGGCCTCTGGTGCGATCGCACGACTTCTGCACCTTTCACCCCATCCAAGCTGTAACAGCGGAAGCGGGCCCTGGCTGCGTCGTGAAGGAGGCGTTCACCGTGCAGAAAGGAGACCTCGTCTTCTGCCTGGTGCAACCGCAGCACCAATACTACGCGCACGTTGTGATCAAGGCAGATTGGGACTCCCACAGGCGCGAGTACAAGTACTGGATCGGCAACATCAGGCAGAACATCAATGGCTATTGTTTCAGGGAGCACATCTTCGGGATTCTCGTGGACGTGCAGGTGCAGTACCATGGCAACTACTACAGTCGCCCGCACCCAAAAACGCTGTACGACAGAGTCGCGCTTATTTATTACACGAACCATGACGAGGCAATGCAACTCTGCGAGCCTCGGTGGGGGCAGCCCGCGTCTGGGAGCAGCTGACAGCTTGCACAGACTGTCACAGTAAATCGCGGGGCCTCTCCGAGCGCGCTTCTGGTAGACTGCAACAGTCGACTGCGACACGCCAGTTCTGGTTTAGGCATTGCTTCTGTCAGCGCCAGTTTTGGCCAACCTGCACAGATGCGCCTCTCAGATGAGCCCTGCCTTCCGCTATGCAACAGATACGCACACAATTCGAGTGCGCGGCACCCTCGCACACATTTCGAGCGGGGTCGTGGGCGGCTAGCATGACTGCTGAACACCGCAAGTTCTCGAGCGCCTGACCCAGTCGGCGAAGTGCTTCCAGTCGCGTCGGGTGGTGACTGTCTGTCAGATACCCTTCGGCGCGGGTGGCCTGACCTTTGCCTTATACTGTAACAGTGGCACGCCTGTGCGGCCGCCCGCATACGCTTTGACGCTGTGCGGACTGGGTTTGTCTTGCGTTTTCCTTGATGCTGAGCCGGCTTGGCTGCACGACTGAGGTGTGTGTGTGTGTTTGTATATGATTAGCACATATTTCAACACGAAGTACATGTATTGTGTGTGGTATTGTCCTCTCGTGCGTCTCATCTTAGGAGCGTGCCACTCGTTCAGGGACCCTGGCATCCAGCTCGCTGGCCCCAGGTTGCCAGTTGACTTACTCAGGGGGGTGGCAGTGGTGAGGGGAATGGGGAGGGGCTGGGACGGGGACGGTTGTGCGGAATCGGCAGAGTCTTTGTGGCCAGCGCTCCGTTGCAACAGCCGCACACATTTCGAGTGGGGTTGCGGGCGGCTAGCATGACTGCTGAACACCGCAAGTTCTCGAGCGCCTGACCCAATCGGCGAAGTGCTTCCAGTCGCGTCGGGTGGTGACTGTCTGTCAGATACCCTTCGGCGCGGGTGGCCTGACCTTTGCCTTATACTGTAACAGTGGCACGCCTGTGCGGCCGCCCGCATACGCTTTGACGCTGTGCGGACTGGGTTTGTCTTGCCGTTTTCCTTGATGCTGAGCCGGCTTGGCTGCACGACTGAGGTGTGTGTGTGTGTTTGTATATGATTAGCACACATATCAACACGAAGTACATGTATTGTGTGTGGTATTGTCCTCTCGTGCGTCTCATCTTAGGAGCGTGCCACTCGTTCAGGGACCTTGGCATCCAGCTCGCTGGCCTCAGGTTGCCAGTTGACTTACTCATGGGGATGGCAGTGGTGAGGGGAATGGGAAGGGGCTGGGATGGGGACGGTTGCGCGGAATCGGCAGAGTCTTTGTGGCCAGCGCTCCGCTGCAACAGCCGCACACATTTCGAGTGGGGTTGCGGGCGGCTAGCATGACTGCTGAACACCGCAAGTTCTCGAGCGCCTGACCCAGTCGGCGAAGTGCTTCCAGTCGCGTCGGGTGGTGACTGTCTGTCTGTCAGATACCCTTCGTCTGACAAAACGGCGAGCTTCTCCGACTCGTCTCCTCTCGCCGTCTGCTGCGCCTCCACTGCAACAGCTCCTGCGCCTCCCCCACCCCCAGGTCCCTGGTGGCGGGCGGCGCTGCCGCGGGCGGCTGCGGCGCCCCCGCAGGCCCACGTGGGGGAACGGGGACGACGATGACGAGGAGGACGAGGCTAGGAGGAGGAGCAGGAGGAGGAGTCCAGGTGGGAGGAGGGGGGTGGAGCGCATCACGCTCTGAGCTAAGGTGCCCGCGAGAGCATCTGTTACTGGCGCGAGTGGGAATGGGACCACGATAGGACTCTGCGCATGTGCTGCGCATGGCTGGAACAGCGAGCGCAGGCGCCCCCATGCATCCCTGAGCTCAGAGATGAGGAGAAAGACGCCCATATTCAGATCAACTGCGTTCCTTATTCTGCAGATTGTCTCACCCTCCAGGCCGCTAGGCGCTAGGCGCTTGGATGCTTGGGCTGCCTGGTTCGAATTGTTCTAGCCTCTAGCCCTCGGCTGTCTGGTGCCCAGTACCTCCCTGGTCGCCACCAGCTGGACGCAGCAAGCGAGGAGGAAGAGGCCACCAGAGAGGGCCCTAGGGCCCTAGGGCACCACACCAGGGACCCCACAGAGCCCCGAGCACCCCAGCAGATCCGCGACAGGATTCGCATCCTTACATCATCTTGGCATATTGGCCCAAGCTAGTTCCCCATGGCCGGGGCAAGAGCCATGGGGGATCCCTTATTCAGCACCTCGTCCCAGGGGTCTCCCAGCGCGGACTCGCAGTCGGTGTTTGCCAGCCTTCTGCGAGACATGTTCGGCGGCTCGGATGACGAGGCCACTGAAGGTATGACGCTCTATGTTGAAGCCAGAGTTGCTGTGGACGTTCGGACCGTGGCCGCCGCCGCTGCGAGTCCGCAACAAGCCAACCAGGGAGGCTTTGCAGCGGGCGTGGGCGCCGCTGGCGGCACCCGCAGAGCAGCGCGAGATCCAGACAGCATCGCTTCCTCCAGACATCAGGGCTTGCAAGAGCCGTCGGCATCGCCTCCAGAGATCAGGGCCTGCGAGATCCAGACAGCATCGCCCTCTCCAGCACAGGTGCATCCAGCATCAGCATCGTCGCTTCCTCCAGGGAGCGTCGGAGACGGCGGAGCAGCTCGAGGGCCTTGCGGCGCGAGCGCGAAGGTCAATGTCATGGCCAATGACACCATCAGCGCCGATGGCATGGGCAATGGGAACATATGACACATTTTCGTTCATCACAGATCGCCTGGGGCTCGAGCTTTCACGCGGGGGACCGCCTACCGACGCTGTCGAGGGCCGAGCAGGATGCGGCGACGGTGGCGACAAGGCCTCTGGAGTTCGGAGCCCGAGGGCCTTTGCAGGGGTCGATGGCGGCAGCGCATTTCAGTTCGCGAAGGTCGCTTGTTTCGACGACAACGTCAAAAGAGTGACAGCGCCTGCCAGGCGTCGCATGCGCTCGCGCAGCCGAGAGACGCGGCTTAAGATGATGTGGGAAGGCGCCCAGGGAGGACGCTCGACAGGTGCTTAGTGATTGTCGCGGCATGCAATCGATGTTTGTACACCAGCCCCTCGTCGACATCGACGTTGGTCTAGTGACGAAGCGCGTGCGGCACCTCCACGATCGTGCCATCGCCTCTGGGCGCTCCGTCTACATCGGCACGACGAGCGACCCTTCATGGCGATGGAATGGAGGATGGGGGTGGCGAGGAAACGACCGAAGCTTCATGCGCGGGCACAAGCTCAGCTACGATGAGATGCAAGTGGTCGCGTCCTTCCCCGACAAACAATGCGGAGAGGTTGAGAAGCATGTGATCGCGCACTTCCCCCGTGCTGACAACAAGGTCGCGTCGCAGAAGGGGCTTGCGGTCAGGCACTGCGCATGCAGCTTCCTATATGTCTGTAGGGCATTATGAGCGCCATTTGCGAAGCTGCCAGCTCCGCTGTCTTGTGCGTGCAGTGGCCACTACCCAGACGTGGTACGTGGTGGGGAGGACTGAGGCTGCGATGCAGAAGTGACAGAATCGCCAGTACGCTGCAACAGCCGCTGCAACAGCCGCTGCAACAGCCGCTGCAACAGCCGCTGCAACAGCCGCTGCAGCAGCTGCGAACAACGCTGCGAACATGCCAGCTGCTGCAACAGCCGCTGCAACAGCCGCTGCAACAGCCGCTGCAACAGCCGCTGCACCAGCCGCTGCACCAGCCGCTGCAACAGCCGCTGCAACAGCCGCTGCAACAGCCGCTGCAACAGCCGCTGCAACAGCCGCTGCAACAGCCGCTGCAACAGCCGCTGCAACAGCCGCTGCAACAGCCGCTGCAACAGCCGCTGCAACAGCCGCTGCAACAGCCGCTGCAACAGCCGCTGCAACAGCCGCTGCAAGCCGCTGCAGCAGCCGCTGCAACAGCCGCTGCAACAGCCGCTGCAACAGCCGCTGCAACAGCCGCTGCAACAGCCGCTGCAACAGCCGCTGCAACAGCCGCTGCAACAGCCGCTGCAACAGCCGCTGCAACAGCCGCTGCAACAGCCGCTGCAACAGCCGCTGCAACAGCCGCTGCAACAGCCGCTGCAACAGCCGCTGCGACAGCCGCTGCAGTAGCAGAGCACACCCAGCTTTCCTGTAGCGCAAGCACCTCGGCTCAAGGCATTTCTTGCAGCGCCTGCAGGCTGCCATGTCAGACCTGGGGGCCAGCGCAGGGGGGCATCCTGGCCCATGTCCAGAAACCGTCATCATGGACCCTGACACTGGACCCATTGATGCGCCATGGCTACAAGTTAAGGAGTACGGTTCGAAGACGAGTGGAGAACCTAATGAGCCCTGGTGGCATTGTAAACCGTGCGACAAATGGGCAGCCCCGACGCACCAGATTTCGCAGGACCACATCAAGAATGTAAGGAATAAGTATCTCTGGTTCCATGAGGCTTGTCCACAGGGTTCTGATGAGGACAAGACCGCATGGTGCTCTAACATCATGGACACTGTGGAGCTCCACCCGGGCTGCGTCCAGAAGAAGCGGGAAGACGATGAAGTGGAGGACTCGAGGTCGACGAGGAAGGCCCAAGTCAACAACAAGGCCAGAGAGGGCAGAGGAGAGCAATGGCAAAGCAAAGGCCATCAGCAAGAAGCTGGAACAGCTGCAGGAGCTCTCCACTGGAAAAGCTGGAACAGCAGCTCAAGAGCTGCGTCACCAGGAGTTGCAACAGCAGGAGCTGATACATGGCGAGCACAGCAGTGGCAGCAGCAGGACGGGCTAACCACCGTTATCACCACGATGCTCAATTTCTTGACCAACGCACAGAGCAACAAGGACGAGAAGATGGATGAGATTCTGGCTCTCCTGCGTGTACAGGGACAGACGCTCGTGAATCTCCACCGGGCACAGGACAACCTGCAGAAGAAAGTCGAGGAGCTCCATTGGAAAGTGGAGGAGCTCAAGCAGAAGGACAAACAGCAGCCCCAGTGAGCTCAGCAGCAGGACAAGTGACCTCGCATCGGCGCCCGGTAGCCGATGTCGGAGGCGCGCAGCCTGGCTCGCGTGCTGGCTCTTTTTTCGCCGCGCTGACGCGGCGCAGGGGGCTGGAATATCTATGGCTCCTGAAGTTTTGGAAGGCTCTGGATTTGTTCGCAAATTGAGTATGCTCCTTATGGCCCCCACAGCGCCCACCTGTCGGAGCCCCACCTCGAGCTCGATCCTCGACTACTTCGCTTCGGGAGCAGGTGTTGCTATATTGATTTCAGGCGCTGGCTTCGTGCGTCCACGGAGTTCTAATATATCGTGGTAGAGCTCCCACGGAGCTCTAACATACGATGTTAGAGCTCCATTGGGGCTCTACCATAATCTAACATGCTATGTATGTTAGAGCTCCACTGGAGCTCTAACATGCCATGTTAGAGCTTCCGGGAGGGAGCTCTAATATAATCTAACGTGCTATGTTATTAGAGCTCCGTTGGAGCTCTAACGTGCAATGTTAGGGCTCCCTGGGAGGTCTAACATGCAAGGTTAGAGGTGCCAGGGAGTTCCCTGGCATCACATGGTTCAGCTCCCAGGGAGCTATATATAATAATAACATGACATGTTAGAGGCCCCACGGAGTTCTAACATGCGATTGTAGAACTCCCAAGGAGCTCCAACATATTCTAACTTGCGATGTTAGCAGCATGTTAGAGTTGCCTCCCATACTCGATGGGACCTCTAACATAGCATGCTAGAGCTCCCATCGAGCCGTCCCCCCCGCCGTCGTCGTCGTCGTCGTCGTCCCATTGGGCGCGTCCGCATGCCGTCTCCCCGCCATCGTCGTCGTCGTCGTCGTCGTCGTCGTCGTGATGATGATGATGATGGTGATGATGGTGGTGATGATGGTGATGGATGATGGTGATGATGGTGATGGAGATGATGTTGATTGCATTTATACGATCGGATAGTCGCCATTCGAGATTATCATTATCATCGTCATTAACATCGTCATCATCACACTCAGAAAAACATGACACCGTCATTATAATCACAATAAAAAACATCAACCAACAGGAAAGACCATAATCACATCAAACACACATCAAAACATCAACCTAAACCAGCCCTGATCCCAGCCAGTCGAGGGGGCCGCTTCCGACGAGGAGGCCGGGAGCTCTAACGTGCCATGTTAGTAGAGCTCCCACGGAGCTCTAACATGCCATGTTAGAGTTCCCAGGGAGCTCTAACATACTGGAACATGTTATGTTAGAGCTCCGTTGGAGCTCTAACAAGCCATGTTAGAGCTCCCTGGGAGCTCTAACATCGCACGTTAGAGCTCCCAGGGAGCTCTAACATACTCGAACATGCTATGTTAGAGCTCCGCTGGAGCTTTAACATACCATGTTAGAGCTCCCAGGGAGCTCCCACTGAGCTCTAACGTGCTAAATGTTAAAGCCTCCGTTGGAGCTCGGTATTTTAGAGCTCCCAGGGGGCTCTAACATGGAGCTCTATCAAATATACCATGTTAGAGCTCCCAGGGGGCTCTAACATACTGGAACATGTTATGTTAGAGCTCCGTTGGAGCTCGAACATACCATGTTAGAGCTCCCACGGAGCTCTAACATACCATGTTAGAGCTCCCAAGAAGCTCCCACTGAGCTCTAACATGCTATGTTAAAGCTCCGTTGGGGCTCGGTATTTTAGAGCTCCCTGGGAGGGAGCTCTAACATGGGAGCTCTAATATAGCGTGTTAGAGCTCCCTGGGAGCTCTAACATATTATAACATGCTGTGTTAGAGCTCCGTTGGAGCTCTAACAAGCCGTGTTAGAGCCTCCACGGAGCTCTAACATAGTCATGTTAGAGCCCCCAGGGAGCTCTAATATACTGGAACATGCTATGTTAGAGCTCCCAGGGGGCTCTAACATACCATGTTCGGGCTCCCAGGGAGCTCTCTAACATACATGTTATGTTCGAGCTCCCAGAGAGCTCTAAAATTCTATGCTGAACATGCTATGTTCGAGCTTCGTTGGAGCTTTACATGCATGTTAGAGCTCCGTGGGAGGGCGAAAATACCATGGTCGAGCTCCCAGGAGCTCTAACATACTGAACATGCTATGTTAGAGCTCCGTTGGAGCTCTAACATGCCATGTTAGAGCTCCCACGGAGCTCTAACATACCATGTTAGAGCTCCCAGGGAGCTCTAACATACTCGAGCATGTTATGTTAGAGCTCCGCTGGAGCTCTAACAAGTCATGTTAGAGCTCCCTGGGAGCTCTAACATAGCATGTTAGAGCTCCTAGGGAGCTCCCACTGAGCTCTAACATTTGCTGTGCTTAAAGCTCCGTTTGGAGCTCGGTATTTTAGAGCCTCCAGGGAGGGAGCTCTAACATGGGAGCTCTACTATAGCATGTTAGAGCTCCCTGGGAGCTCTAACATGCTATGTTAGAGCTCCGTGCTGGGGCTTCTAACAAGCCATGTTAGAGCTCCCACGGAGCTCGAACATGCCATGTTAGAGCCCCCAGGGAGCTCTAACGTACTGGAACGTGCTGTGTTAGAGCTCCCAGGGAGCTCTAACACGCTCGAACATGCCATGTTAGAGCCCCCACGGATCTCTAACATACCATGTTAGAGCTCCCAGGGAGCTCCCACGGAGCTCTAACATGCCATGTTAAAGCTCCGTTGGAGCTCGGTAATGTTAGAGTTCACAGGGAGCTCAAACATGGGGGAGCTCTAACATGGGGCTGTAATATAGCATGTTAGAGCTCCCAGGGAGCTCTAACATACTCGAACATGCTATGTTAGAGCTCCCAGGGAGCTCTAACAAGCCATGTTAGAGCTCCCACGGAGCTCTAACATACCCTGTTAGAGCTCCTAGGGAGCCCTAACAAACTGGAACAAGCTATGTTAGAGCTCCGTTGGAGCCCTAACATGCCATGTTAGAGCTCCCAGGGGGGCCCGAACATATTGGAACATGCTATGTTAGAGCTCCGTTGGAGCTCTAACATGCCATGCTAGAGCTCCCACGGAGCTCTAACATGCCATGTTAGAGCTCCCACGGAACTCTAACATGCCATGTTAGAGCTCCCAGGGAGCTCTAACATACTGGAGCATGCTATGTTAGAGCTCCGTTGGAGCTCCATGTGTGAGCTCCCGCGGGGCGTCCACATACCATGTTAGAGCTCCCAGGGAGCTCTAACATACTGGAACATGATATGTTAGAGCTCCGTTGGAGCTTTAACATACCATGGTAGAGCTCCCACGGAGCTCTAACCTAGCATGTTAGAGCTCCAGGGGAGCTCTAACATACTGGAACATGCTGTGTTAGAGCATTCCGTTGGAAGCTCTAACATACCATGTAGAGCTCCCAGGACATCTCCTAACATTACTGGAAACATGATATGTTAGAGCTCCCTGG